GATAGATGACATACATATATATACAGAGATCTGCAGCTGGACTAATTACTTCAAATAGCAGCAGACAAGGAAAATAAGTACTTCATTTTACATTTGCTATATTAAGTTTAAAAATTAAAAAAATATCAACTTACTATAAACAATTTAAAATATGTATAATACAACTTTATGGTTAAAACATTTGAACAGTCTATGAAAATGGGGGATACTTTGATCCTTCATTTCTGTTTAGGTTCCATACATGATTTTTCAATGTCTCTTCCAAGAGAAACCATAAAACAACTGAGTTATTTTATGGCAACTAATTTCCTTTAGGGATTTTGTCCTAACAGAAATACTTAATTACTTATTACAGGGGACTGAAAGGAAAAAAAAAAGAAATGAGAAACAAAGTAGTTCTCTCCCCACTTGTTACTATTCTTAAAACATTCTGTACATATACAAAGCTATCCAGACCTTCTGAACCATTTTACAAATGTATTTTCAGAAACTGCAGGAAAAGTTTTAGAGTCTAAAAGTGTTATTTTATACACTGACTGACTATACAATACACAGTGAACGTATACACACACATGCGCATACACACACGCATCTTAAAGATACGGTTCTCCAAAGGTTTTCCGACATTCCGTCACCCCGGCACTCGGTGGTCTATCACAGTTGTGTGTACTCTTGACTTGATGAGGTGTGAGACGATCGTACGCCATCTTGTACTCTTTATCAAATGCATCTGCAAAAATTCATAAAGAAGTAAAGACAAAGAAATTTATGTGTGATGTTAACAATCACATTTCTATAATACTACAGAACCACAAAATGAGAGGCCAAGAAAGAATGTCTCAGTCATTCCTGCCATCCAGAGAACCACAGACTTTTAGAGCTGGAGGTGGAACCTTCGAGTCCACAGAATTGGAGAGCAGACTGCACAGACTAGTGAAACTTAAAAAGTTTTAAAATGCTGATTTTTACTATTATCAGGATGTTAAAAACAACCAAATATGACACAGGTTTTTTTTCTTTTTTTTTTTTGTATCTTGCTTTTAATATACCATAAATAATAAAAGGAATACGAATGAATAATGGCATTTCCACCAAGATTAACAAAAATGTTTTCACTCCTTTTTATGGCTGAATAACATTGCACTGTACAGATATACCATATTTTGTTTATCCATTTATTTTTTTGATAGATACTTGTTTTTTTTCTACTTTTTGCTTATTATGAATAATGCTGCTATGAACATTCATGCACAAGTTTTTGCATGAATATGTTTTCAGTTCTCCTGGGTATATACCTAAGAGTGGAATTGCTGGGCCATACAGTAACTCTATGTTTAATATTTTAAGGAACTGCCAAACTGTTTTCCACAGCAGCTGTACCATTTTACACTTCCACCAGTAATGTATGAGGGTTCCGATTTCCCCACATCTTCACCAATACTTTTTTTCTTTTTTTTAAATGGGCATACTAGTGGGTCTGAAGTGACATCTCACTGTCATTTTAAGTTGCATTTCCATAATGACTACTGATCGTGAGCATCATGTCATATACTTACTGGCCATCTGTATATATTCTTTGGAGAAATGTCTATTCAAATCCTTTGCCTATTTTTAAATTGGGTTATTTGTTTTTATTGTGGAGTTGTAAGAGTATTTTATATATTCTGGATACTAAGCTTTTATCAGATGTGATTTGCAAACATCTTCTTTCATTCTGTGGGTTTCTTTTTACTTTCTAGATAGTGTCTTTTGACATACACAAGTTTCTAATTTTGATGATGTCCATTATCTTTTGTCACTTGTGCTTTTGGTGTCAGATCTAACAAACTGTTGCCTAATCCAAGGCCATTAAGATTTATACCTATTTTTTTTTTCTAGAAGTTTTATTCATTTAGCTCTTAGATTTAGTTCTTTGATCCATTTTGAGTTAATTTTTGTATATGGTGTGAGGTAGGAGTCTAAATTCATTCATTTGCACACAAATATCCAGTTGTCTCAGCAACATTTATTGAAAAAACAATTCTTTCCCCCACTGAATGGTCTTAGCATCCTTGTCAAAATTAACTGGCCATAGATGTATGGGTTTATTTCTGGGCTCTCAATTTTATTCCACTGACCTGTTTATGTTTATCCTTGGCCAGTCTGATACTGTTTTGATTACTGTAGCTTTGTAATAGATTTTGAAACCAGGATCCCTGAGTCCTCCAACTTTGTTCTTCCTTTTCAAGACTGTTTTAGCTATTCTGGGTTTCTGCAGCTGGACTAATTACTTCAAATAGCAGCAGAATTTTAGGATCAGCTTATTCATTTTTGTAAAAAATAAAGCAGTTGGAATTTTGATAGGGATTGTATTAGATCTGTAGATCATCTTGGGGACTACTGCCATCTTAAAAATATTAAGTCTTCCAATCCATGAATATATCTTTCCATTTATTCAGGTGTTCTTCAATTTCTTCCAACAATATTTTGTAGCTTTCATTGTATCTTGTACTTCTTTGGTTAAATTTATTCCTAAGTATTTTATTTTTTGATACTGTTGTAAATGGAACTGTTTTCTTAATTTCATTTTCAGATTGTTCATTGCTAGTATATAGAAATACAACTGATTTTTGTAGACTGATCTTCTGTCCTGCAACAATGTTGAGCTTGTTTAGTCACTCTAATGGTTTTCTGTGTGTATTCTCTAGGTTTGTGTCTTCTAGGAATTTGTCCATCTAGGTTATCTAATTTGTTGGCATACAATTATTCACTGTGTGTTCTCTTATAATCACGTTTATTTCTTTAAGGTCGAAAGTAATGTTCTCTCATTCCTGATTTTAGTAATTTGAGTCTTCTTTCTTCTTGGTCAGTCTATGTAAAGGTTTGTCAATTTTGTTGATCTCTTCAGTGAAACAACTTTTGATTTGTTGATTTTCTCTAATGTTTTTCTATTTCCTATTTCATTTATTTCTCTCTAATCTTTATTATTTCCTTCCTTCTGCTCAATTTGGGTTTAGTTTGCTCTTCTTTTCCTAGTTTCTTAAGACGGAAAGTGAGGTTATAGATTCGAGGTGTTTCTTCTTTTTTATTCATTTACAGCTAGATATTTCCCTTTGAGCACTGCTTGTACTGCATCCCGTAAGTTTTGGTATGTTGTGAATTCGTTTTCAGTCATCTCAAAGTATTTCCTAATTCCCTTATGCCTTCTTTGCCCTACTGGTTATTCAGGAGTATGTTGTTTAATTTCCACACATTTGTGAATTTCCCAACTTTCCTTCTATTATTGATTTCTAACTTCATTCCACTGTGATTGGAGAACATACT